TAGAGTCATTGCTGGCACCAGTCCTTGTGCCTTGCTCTCCCCAGTTCCCACCAGAGGTATCATACGCTTTCACTCTCCTGAATTTTGCAGTAACCATTCCCTTGCTTTTCTTCAGTTTTACCTCAAACATTGTATCTTTCAAACACAATATTTCGCTTTGTAGGTCTTGAGGCTTTCTGGAAACATTACGTTGTGTATACTTTCTCACAATTGGCTTTCGTTTTTGCTCAGTGTGATGTTTTTGAGATGGGTCCATACTGATGCATGTAGCTGTGGTGACTTTCCCCTGCTATATGGTATGCTGCTGTGTGAATACATTGTCATTCATTCATTCATTCATTTATGAACATTTGATTACTTCATATATACATATGTATATATACAGGTTGCATTGTATTTTCATTCCTTTGAATCAATAGTTCTTTATAAATTCCAGACACATAGCTTTTATCGGTTGTAATATTACAAATATCTTCTCTCCTTTTTGGCCTGTCTTTTCACCTTCATCTTTTGGTGTAGAAGAGCTTGTATTTTCATGTAGCTGAATTATCAATCTCTTCCTTACGTGTTAGCACTTTTTGTATTTTGTTTAGAAAATCTATCCTTATATCGCCGAGATCTTAAAGATATTTTCCTGTATTGTCTTCTAAAAGTTTTATCTTTTATGTTTAGGTCTTTAATTAGTCTGGAATTGATTTTAATAGAATGAAGTAGAGGTCCAGTTTTCTTTTCAAATGGATAACCAGTTGTCCTGTCACCATTTACTGAAAAGCTTATCCCTTACCCACTGATATGCAATACTGCCATAAACCAAGTACCCCAGTAAGAGTGGCTGTGTTTCTAGACGCTCTGTTTCCTGATTCTTATTTTGCTTACATTCTTTATGCCAATACACACGGGGCAGCATCAGCATCTATCAAAATGCCTTCTGATTTTCAATCCCTTTCTCATTTTGGCCTCTAGGGATTTCCCTTGTGAGCTCAGTTTTGCATTTAAAAGGATGTTTGTTAGATTTCATCCAGCCTTTCTATGACTGTAATGGGAGATTTTTCAGACTGCCTAGTTAACCATAACCCAGTGATACAAAGAGAAGTTGCTTAGCTGATTCCTAAAACCAAATGTTTGTGATTATCTCACCTTGAGGATCTGAGCCAGAAAAAACACAAAGTGCTTAAGTATGAGGGAACTTTCTCTCAGTAAAAGAAGTAAAAATGACATTTTAAATAGCAAGCATGTTGGACTCTGTTTGGTTAAAACTTCACATTAAACAAAAAATTGCATTGTGCAGGTCAGTGAAATCTGGTCAAAATAATACTTAGATTTCCAAAGTAAAATAAAGCAATTGAGCCAAAACAGTCAGATCCTCATGGCCTGTTACAGGTAGAATAAAGCCAGTGAGATCTAGAAGTCCTGTCCTGGGGGCACATGGGTGGTTCAATGGGTTAAAGCCTCTGCCTTCCGCTCTGGTTATGATCCTAGGGTCCTGGGATCAAGCTCCGCATCAGGCTCTCTGCTCAGCGGGGAGCCTGCTTCCCTTCCTCTCTGCCTGCCTTTCTGCCTACTTGTGATCTCTGTCAAATAAATAAATAAAATCTTAAAAAAAAAAAAAAAGTCCTGTCCTGAAACAGCTTTGTGGGGAGGGATGTGGGAAAATGTGTCCATTTTGATGGACAGCTGTAATGGCAAAGCATTATAAGCATTAGCACTATGTACATCAATTATGTGTCTCGTGAGAGTTAAGAGAATTAAATGAGTTAATGCTTGTAAAGAACTCAAGTGTCTCATATGCAGTGTTATGTGAGTACTTGTTAAATAAAAACAAGGGGTGGAATTACAACCATACCATTTGAATAATGTGTCCCTATTACTCCCAGTTAAGAAGCATGGAATCCACAGAGCTGAGCACTGGTACAGAGAAGAGTCACTAACATTTTATCTATTTATAGCCAAGTTCATCCAGAGGTATAGACTGTCCTGTCTGCAGATTGGAGGTAGAAATTGGGAGACAGAGAGAGATATCACCATCTTCTTTAAATACGTCTCATTTAAAATAGGTCTCATTTCCTTTTTAAAAGATCTGGTGTTGTATGCTACATTTACTAGGGAAGATTTAAATAAATTACTCCAGAACCATTAGCAACATGCTTCATAGTAAATTCACAGATTAGGGAAGCCTGAGTGGCTCAGTCAGTTAAGTGTCTGACTTTGGCTCAGGTCATGATCCCAGGATCCCAGGACCCTGGGATCCCTGCTCAGTGGGGAGCCTGCTTCTTCCTCTACCTGCTCCTCCCCCTGCTTGTACTCTCTGACAAGTAAATAAAAATCTCCTTTTTAAAAGATTTTATTTATTTATTTGACAGACAGAGATCACAAGTAGGCAGAGAGGCAGGCAGAGAGAGGGGGAGGAAGCAGGCTCCCTGCTGAGCAGAGAGCCTGATGCTGGGCTTGATCCCAGAACCCTGAGATCATGACCTGAGCGGAAGGCAGAGGCTTTAACTCACTGAGCCACCCAGGTGCCCCACAAGTCTTTAAAAAGAAAAAAAAAAAAGATTCAGATTATAAGGGAAACATACTTTTCATTATTCATATAACTTGTCAGAATGGGCTCAATTATTTGGCACTATGACCTCTTCACTACAAGGACCATATCTTCTTCATTTCTGGTACCCGGCACAAAGAGAATGTTTAATTAGGCATGGGTGGTTAGGCAATGTAACTTCAAATTACTGCACCTTCTAAAAGGCTTCCCAGGGCCATAACAACACATTCCTCTCTTCCTGAAGTCCTCCCATTTTTATTTCACCAGGGTTGGAATCCTTTCAAGGGTCCTGCCTGCAATATATTCATTGAGTATGTGATGTCCTCCCATCACTATAATGTTCAACCAGGGGCAAAGAAATGAGCAAATTGGCTTCTACAACAAGTGCGAAATTAGATGATTCCTCTCCCCACTCCCAATTTCTGATATTTGCCACAAAGTCTGCAAATTAACACAGCTCAACAAGCATGTATTAAGTCTTAACCATAGGCAAGCTGTAGAAACAAAGTTGAAAGAGAGGTAAATCCCAGCCCTCCCTTCCTGAAGAACTTCTAGTTTAGTAGGGAAAACAGACACGACGCTTCACAGCATTAATCCCAATTGTAATTATGATTATTTTGGTTTAATGCCTGTCTTTTCACTACATGATAATGAGGACAAATCAGAGTCTGCTCTTTACCACTATATCGCTAACATCTAACAGTGTCTGCCACTTAAAGCACTCAATATTTATCAAATATTTATTGTCAAATATTGTTTCAAAGGCATCAAGGATTCACAGTGTGCTCACTGCAAGACAGTATGGTAACATGAACACCCTGCCCTTTATTTTGTATGTTGGGTATGCATGTGTTGAAAGCGATTCCTTCAGTGGGAGCTGATCATTATCAAAATTGTGGGGTTCTTTTTCAAAAGTAATCAAAATTTTGTTTATCAGGCCTTCCGCTTAGGAATCACCTTTGCTTCTGGAAAGTTCAGAGGAGCCAAGAAGTGACAGGGAACAAGTATTTGTCTTTGATTCTAAGGTTTAAAGAGGAAGGGTATGACTCTAAGTCAAGAATGATAGTACACCAAAACAAAACAAGAAGAGTACAGGGAGCCACAAGATTCCATGGTTCCAATGATACCAGAAAGGCAGTCAGGGTAAAGTCAGAGTGGAATATAGATTGTCCATCTGCCTAGAAAATGCTCTGCAGTCTTTTTGTCTGAGGAAGTGAAGTGAACCAGCAGCAGGCCACAGGAATTTCATACAAGACAAGAGGAATACCAGCGCGGTGGCTTTGTTAAGGTCTTTGTATCTCTTAAAATTCTGACTCTGCTTTTTACTTTTCCCTTGCTTCAGAACACCACAACCACCAATGGCTGAGATCTTCATATGATAGCTGTTTATCCAAACTGATTCTTTTCTTTACTTTCTACCCTGAGCTTTTCATTCCTCTGCAAAAACTTAAACTCTCTCTTTCTTGTTTTCAAAAAGAACAACAAAAAAAAGAGAAAAAAGACAAAGCTCTAAAATAGTAAGATATGTAGGCTTTTGTTTTTATGCCTATTAATATCCTATGTCTTCAAAAATATAACTTCATTACAGGCATTGCTTAATTGTTTTTGTAGTCCCTCTCTGTGGACAGGGATCACTTTTTATATTTCTTTTGTTACTCCCAATAAGCCTGGTTCAATGCCAACCGCATAGTAAGCACTGGGACAGCCAAGGGAACATGTAACAAATCTAATACACTGGACATTCTTACGATAAAATAAAAATTGAAACCAAGATTTTTATGTATTCATTTCTGTCCTTGTTTTCCTATATATAGTACCCTATTCAGATGCCCTTATAAGCCCTTACCAGACTTTATTTTAGCTGCCTATTTAGATTAGGTCTTTAATATCTTCCATGAAAAAATAACATACTGCAACTTTAAAAATGACAGAAGTAAAATAAATAATGATGAATGTTTAAAAATGAAGAAGGCTCTGGTAAAATATTGGCAATTAATCAATATAAGATGTTTTTATCATTCATCTAGAAGTACAACTCAAGATTCAATTTATTTTGCAATAGCTATCTCTGTACCTGATAGTCAATACTCAAACATCAACAAATTATTAATTTTTATTTAATTTTTTTATAAACTACTAATTTTTTTAAATTACAGTTTTTTTTCTTAAATTTACATAGATGAAGAAAAGTAACACACTAGACAAGTTATTAAGTATAGTCTCAGGCTTATGTGGAATTACGACTTTCAAAAATTACTGAAATGTCTTTTCAAAGAAAATCTTCATACAGAGATATGTTTGTCAATATAGCGGACTGTAGACAGCCACAAATGTGGCATCCTCAAAACAGCACATAACTAGTAAATGTAATGCCACAAACCAACTTATTCCTTTAAAACGTCACTAAGTAATTCCAAGGAGTACAAAGAACATTACAGGCTTCTCATGTTCATCCTAAGAATTAGGTAGTCTTCTTGGATTTTTTCTTCTCTGCTTCTTCCTTTTCCTTTTCTATTTCAGTTACTTGTAATTCAATTTCTTTGGCACTAAACATCTGAAAATATTTTAAAAAACAATTTCAATTATACCAGTAATTTCTAAATATTTCCAATATGAAGAAACCAATTATATTTTATACATTTCTATTTTCTATTTTCTTTTTTTTTTTTTAAGATTTTATTTATTTATTTGACAGACGGAGATCACAAGTAGGCAGAGAGGCAGGCAGAGAGAGAGGAGGAAGCAGGCTCCCTGCTGAGCAGAGAGCCCA